CTCCACTTGACCATGCTAAGGCTAACAGGTCTACCTCTGAATTTGCCGCTCCACCTGTGATGAATCTTCCTTGGAGGAGCTGATGGGGAAGAGAGTGCTGAGTCAACTGGGAGGCTGCTGACCTACAAGTGGTTGTGGTAGACTCCCATGATATTTGCTACAGATGATGGTTATTGTTCTCCATGCATTTCACCTTGCTACATCAAGAAATGTTGCTTTCATTCTAATGCTGTTCTTACTTTTATCTGTTCTGGGATGGAATTATAACTAATTTCTAGAAATGTTAATTCTTGATAGACAAGGAATTCAATGGGAAATACTCTATAATGTGTGTCTAGGCTGCCAGATCTTATTATTTCTATTTTCTTGAATTGCCTATTCCTTTTTATATCAGGTAATCCTCCTTTTGAGGCTCTAAGCCCATGTCCCAGCCTAGCTCAGCCATGCCCCTCCTGAGGTTCCAACCATTCCTACCCCCCTCCTCCTCTCCATGGGAGTTAGGGTACTGAGACACAGGACTGTTCTTAAATTCTCTAAATGTTTACTCCTTCCTCCCACCCCCTGATAGTTTGTTACAACACTCCTGTCTCACTCCCTTCCCACCTGTTGATTTATATAATAATGACCAAGGATTCCCTTTTTGATGAGGAACTGGACAATGATGAAGACGAAATCTGTAAATTTTTTGCAATTAATCTTATTTCTCTTAACTGTCTGTTTGTTCCTGCATAATATTAAATTGTTGTAACCAATACTATCCTTCTGGACCCCTATTTCCCCAATTCTTCCACCACCATACTCTTTCTTTCTTTTCAAGCTTTGGGGCTGATCTGATTAATAAGCTTTAAATCAATCTGGGAGCAGGGTCTTGCTAAAAATTGATGCCCAAAACTACAGCCAACACGAGGCATTCAGGACCAGTGTGATTGTGGGCTGTATGTAGAAGATAATGCTCATAAGAGTGGATGAACTGGCCCACTTATCTTCAGTTACTATTTTTTAAAGGATTACCTTGTGGCTTATTTTTTTCATTTTCTTCTTTCTGTCACTGCTGATTTTGCTCCATTTGGGGGCACTTCTCTGATTATTTGAGGTGGTGAGGGGAGAGGTACATCTTCCGTTAACTCCTGCTCAAATATATATACTCAAAATACATATTTTGTTTCTGTGATTTGCTTTTTGACGCAATCATTCAGGATATCATTATTTAGTCCACATTTGAGTATATATCTATTCCATGTGTTCCTCATATTAATTCTTTTTTAGTATTATAATCTAATAAGGGATCTACTTAATATTTTTGCCTTTCCCCATCTATTTATGATTTCTTCACGTCTTGGTCCATACTCAATTTTTATGAAGAAAGCATGTGATGCTAAGACATTTGTATGTTCTTTAATATTCTAACTCAGAAGACATCATCTTTGAAATCTAAATTTCCCAATTGTTGGTTATTTTCCTTTTATCTTTTTGTTATGTTAATCTGGCACTATAACTTCATTATCATCTATGCCTTCTTGCAATTCAGTTAGTTTCATCTTTAAGAACCTAGACACTGTTAATTGGTGCCCATATACTTAATATCATAGTTTTGTCATCCATAATGCCTTTAAACATTGTGTAGTTTGATATCGTCAATTTTTACTGTCATATCAGAAACCATGATTTCAATCCCCCCCATTTTTTTGACATATATTCCCCTCGCCAACCCCTCATTTAAATTTTTTCTGTTTATTTTATTGGTGTGTTTCAAAATATTTAGGAAATTGTTGAGTTTTGTTCTTATCCATTCTGCCATTCCTTTTTCTTGGGGGGGGGGAAGGGGATTAAAGCCATTCACATTTAATGTTATAATTGTTAGGTTTGTGTTTTTCTACCTTTAACTCAAGCTGATGGGAGGGTGGGGTGCGGAGAGCTTTATAACCCTTTCTCTTCTTAAGTCAGCACTTGGTCTCCTTGGTTTTGTTTGTTAATTTGACCAGTCTCCTCCCACAGGCTTACCCATCTTCTCCCTTCTCCAGTATTGTGCCCAGTCCCAAATTCCTCAATTTGGTTTTATTTCTTCTTTTCCTTCTTCCCTTTCCCAGCTTGGATGAGACTACAGTTCAGAATGTTCTCTGCTATGAACCTTCTGGGAACTCTGAATTTGTCATCCACCTCATTCCTTTCCTATTTGAGGATATTCTGAAAGGGAATCTTCCACACACGGGCTTTATAATCAACTCTCATAAGAGATAAGGCTTCTGGAAAACAAAAACCTTGCTCCCACTTTAGTCTAATTCATTTATTAGTGCTATTGTAGATTTCAGCCACTCTGTTCTTCTCCATTCCTTTTTGGTTTGTTTTTCTGAAAAGCATCCCTTTGCAAAGTCTGACTCCCAGAAATGCTGCTTTATGAAGGCAGCTTTGTGGTATGGTAGAAGTTGCTCTATATCCCTTTTCATAGGGTATCTCATTCTCTTCTTAAACCTTTACAGACTAACTTCCAATCTCACTAAACCTAAATTGTTCTCCCTGAAGTTACTAATGATCTCTTAATTGCCAATCAAATTGCCTTTCCTCAATCCTCATCCTTCCTATCTCTCTGCAGCCCTTGGCACTGTTGATCCCCCTCTGCTCCCAGATACTCTCTAGGTTTTTGGAGTGCTACTCTCTCCTGATTCTCCTCCTACCTATCTGCCCCTTTCTCCTAATGATCTTTTACTACTTGATCACAGGCCCCCAGACAGGGGGAAAGGCTGAAGAAATCCCCTTTTCCTTTCAAGCCAAGGCTGAGGGTGAGTATATCACTTTGGTTCCCTCCTCTCTCTTCATTCTCATTTTTCCCTTGCCCCACTCCACTCCCAACATTCTGATTTATGAGGAAAAGTGGGTTTTAGTCCAAATATTACAAATCCTTCCTCCTTCTCTCCTAATTCCTTAACCGCTTTGGTCATTAGCCTCTTAGATCCTTGTGCAGCTAGGTTTCTCTCCATGACCCCCAACTAAGCCGAGATTGAAAAATAGCCTTTTTTCCCTAGAAGCACTGAACATTTATTTTGTTGCTTTCTGTTGTCTGTGTTTATTTGCTTTCCTCAATCTGAGGAAATCATTTGAGAAATTCTCTTGAGAAATTATTTGTGTGTCAATCATTCACTGTATAACATTTATATATGTGGTTATTGTTTGCTCCTTTCCCCTTATTTGTTTCAATGCATTGAACATCTATCTGCCTAGAGGCTGGCCTTATTACACCCAACTTTTCTCTCCTAGACTCCCTGCTTACTATCCCTTTTCATCTGTTCCAAATATATTTTTATCAGGACTCATTACTTTGTTTGATTCTTTTCTTCACACAATGCTCCTTGCTTTTGTCTATTTGCATAACCATATCTGAGTAACTTCAATAACCAACTCAAGTTAAGTGCTAGGGGGTAGAACCCAGGTGGATATCTGTCTTGAAGAAACTCCATGGAGAGAGGACTACAGCTGAGCTTATACCACCCCCTTTCACACAACACACAAGTCCCCTCCTCTCTGATTGGTTTTGTATTTCTGAGTCTCTCCACCATCCAGAGTAACCCAATTTCTTTGCCACTGAGGCTGGATGAGTTCTGAGAGAACCTTCAGGGGACAGAAGAGATGCCACCATATCCCACACTGGAAATTCAGGCCTAATGAGATGATCACCCTGGGAGCAAGAGGGTCTTGGTGCATCGAGGGGAAGTGGGTTCATCAATCTTCTGATGTCATTTTAGAAGCCTTTACCTTAGAGGAAAGAGTTTCCTTCCCACTCTTCTTGTGGTAACTGAAATTGCTTTTTTGAGACATATTTGTAATGGGGGTCAGGGTGCGAGGTATGCTGATATATAAATCTCTCACTCTTACTATTTTTGTAGAAACTCTCCTAGCTGCTGGTCTCCACTCCACCTATAGAACTTTTTGGATTTTGGAGGGACCTTGACCTAAGGGGTCCTTTGTTCCGATGAAGCAGAAAGCAATCTTGGTTAGTCCAAAAACTTTCAGTCTCAAAACCTGAGGCAAGGCCTTGACCTTCTCCCATCAAACTATGGGATCACTTTCTCTACTGGTGGAGGCAATAACCCGCGAGATATCTTATCCTAGAACTTAAAATGAGGCTGAGGAATTCAACACATACTCTTCAGGGCCACAGCTGCAGAGCAAAAATTCTGAATCTTTGAGCAGGAAGGGGGTAATTGAGTTCTTTAACACCATTCCCTACCAAGGGACAATTCCAATCCAATCCAATGTAATCCAGTTCCCAGGCCCAGTAGACTTACCATAGGACTATAGATTTAGGAGCTGGAAAGGACCTTAGAGGTCCAACTACCCCATTTTTTTTAGTTTTAAATAATATTTTATTTTTCCCCCAATTACATGTAAAAACAATTTTTACACTTTTTTAAAGTTCTGACCAACTATCCCATTTTAAAGATGAGAAAACTGAGGCCCAGACAGGTTAAGTGATTGGCTCAGGGTCACACAGCTAGCGTTTGAGGTAGGATTTGAACCTAGGTCTTCTTTGCTGTAAATCCAGCGCTCTATTTACTACACCACATTGCCTCTCTTATGCAACAGGAGTTTTACTGCTTAACTGTGGGCTGAGTCACCGTTGGGATGCTTACTGTACTGCCCTTCAGGATCTTGCCAAGGTGAAGATTTCCTTGAGATATTGGCTTTAAAAGTGTTGAGGAAACAATAGGCCAGAGCTTCCATGGCCACTCAAGAACCAGTCAGTGAACTTTCATACTAAGATCAAACCCAGATCTCCTCATAAAAGTGATCTGGAGTTCTTTGAGTTGCTACATTTTCCCCCTTGGATCAGGAAGCAAATTTGTTTTAAAGTCCATTTGGTATTTTCTCTACTTCCAATCCTTAAGTTCCAAAACAGCATTTGAACCAGGTAATTTTAAAATTCCCTTCCCTTTTAGGATGATATTTCAGACTGGGAAGTACAATATGTGTAAATCTGATCCAGATAAGCTAAGGGTATTAATTTACATTTCATAAGAACTTCCAAAGAGACAGTTCCCATATTAAATATCCCCTGGAGGTGAGGGAATCCTCCTAGGACATTTATCTACCATCTTTTATTCCTTTGCTCTATGAAGTTATAAAAGTTTGGCCATTTTGCTAATTAGTATTTTGGTATGTTTTCCTAAAACTATTTATAAAACAGACTTGTGTTTTATTAACAGTATTTCAAATTTTGCACTTTTGCAACTGAACTGCCCACCTGATTGGTAGCTAACATAACAAAAAAAGAGGGACATAAAGGAAGATGGGGCTTTTTTTCTTCTCAAAGCAACAATTTAATTGATGATAAAACTTGACATCTTGACTCTCCAATATTTAACAGATGATAAAACTTTATGAAGCATTCCTTCAATTATATGCATAGTTAATCTCCAGCATGAAAATTCTGATGAGGAGTGGACTCCAAAGATTTTACCAGGGTCATTATGCTTCATAAGGGATGAGCTCATTCTGAGGGCATTTCCACATTCATTACATTTGTAAACATCCTCACCAGTATGAATTATCCAATATTCTACAAGTTTTTCTAGATTAAAAGCTTCCCCAAATACGTTATAATCAAAAGATTTCTAGTCAATATGAATTTTCTTATATGTATCAAAGCTTTTATATCAGCCTGAAAGATGTACAACATTCATTACATTCAAAGAATCTCTCCAGTATGAATCAACTTCTGGTGCTTTGGGTTTCTACTCTAGGTGAAAGCATTCCTACATTTATTTCACTGACAGGGTTTCTCTTCAGTATGAATTCTTTGACGACTAATACAGGTTGCACTATTGCTAAGGACTTTATGAAATTTATTACATTCAAAGAGTTTTTCTTCAGTATGAATATCCTTGAGTGGTTATTAGTTGGCATATTGGATAGAGCATAAAACTTAAGAGTCAAGGAGCCCTAAACTGATGCTATCTGGGCAAGTTGCTTAACATTTCTGAGTGTCAGGAAACTCTAAGACAACTCTAATGGGTTGTGATCTACATCGGAAGATGGAGTTCGACACTTGAAATCACAAATCTTGGTCATAATGATGAATGAGTCCACTTATGTCTTTCAGTTTTCTACTCAAATTGAAAAATTTCTCACATTTTTTAATCACGAAAACTCTTCTCTCCAGTATGAATTCTCTGATGTGTAATAAAGTTGTTTTTTCCCCCTGCTGAAGGCTTTCCCAATTTCCTTATATTGAAATGGTCTGAAGTAGAAATTCTCCATTTTTTTCAGCAATGAGTTATTTCTGAAAGTTTTCTCACATTTGTTTATATTCAAAGGGGTTCTCTCTATTATGAATTCTATCATATGCAACAAAGTTCGGACTGTAAACACTTCCTCTTTCATTCCACTCAAAAAGCTTCATCCCAGCATGAGTTTTTTTATGTTCTTTCAGGTTTCCACTCCATTTGAAAGCTTTCTCACATTCATCACACTGAAATGGCTTCTCTTCAGTATGAATTTTCTTATGTCCTTTGAGGTTTTCACTACGGGTAAAAGCTTTCCCGCATTCCTCACACTGAAAAGGTTTCTCTCCAGTATGAATTCTCTTATGTTTATTAAGATCTCCTCTCTGGCTGAAAGATTTCTGACATTCATTACAATGAAAGGGTTTCTCTCGAATATGAGAGAATATCTGATGTCGAGCTAAGCTCTGGTTATTGGTGAAGGCTTTTTCACATTCATTACAACCAAAAGGAGTTTCACCTGTATGAATTCTCTTATGGGTGTTAAGGCTTCCCTTCCGACCAAAGGCTTTCCCACAATCATTGCATATATAGGGCTTCTCGCCAGTATGAATTCTCTGATGCTGCACAAGGAATGAGCAGTATCGGAAGCCTTTTCCACATTCACTACATTCAAAGTGTTTCTCTCCAGTATGAGCAATCTTATGTGCGTTAAGGCCTCCCTTCTGGCTAAAGGCTTTGTCACACTGATTACATTTATAAGGTTTCTCTCCAGTATGAATCCTCTGATGTCGCATAAGGGATGAACGGTGTCTGAAGGCTCTTCCACATGCATTACATTGAAAGCGTTTCTCTCCCGTATGAGTTATTTTATGTGTATTAAGGATTCCCTTCTGGTTGAAGGCTTTTCCACATTCATTACATATAAAGGGTTTCTCACCAGTATGAATTCTCTGATGTTGCATAAGAGAAGAACTGTACCTGAAGCCTTTTCCACATTCATAACATTTAAAAGGTTTCTCTCCAGTATTATTATTAATTACCCTACGTTTAGGAAGGTAAGGGGTGTTGCTGAAGGTTTTACCAAATGTATTCAATACATACGGTTTCTCTTGAGAATGAATTCGTTGATGGCGAGTGAGGTGTCTATTACTGCTGAAGACTTTCTCACACTCATTACATTCAAAAGGCTTCTCACCTGTATGAATTCTCTTGTGTGTTTTAAGGTTTCCCTTCTGGCTGAAGGCTTTTCCACATTCATTACATATATAGGGTTTCTCTCCAGTGTGAATTCTTTGATGCACAATAAGGCGTGAATTGTTACTGAAGGCTTTCTCACATGCATTACATGGAAAGAGTTTGTCTTCAGTATGAAATATCTTGTGTGTATCAAGGTTTTCTTTCTGGCTGAAGGCCTTCCCACATTCATCACATACAAAGAGTTTCCCCCCAGCATGACTTCTCTGATGTAGGGTGAGGTTTAAAATGCTACTAAAAGTTCTGCCACATTCACTACATTTAAGAGGTCTTCCTCGAGTATGTGTTCTATAGTAATGAATGAGGTTTGACTGATAATTGAAAGGTTTCCTGTACTTACTATATTTACAAAGTTTCTTTCCTAATTCAATTCTATTATATTTAATTAGGTCTGAAAATTGTTTGAAACTCTCTCCAAGTGTATCGTATTTATGGAGACTTTCTCCTCTAGGAAAACTCAGTTGTGGAATGAGGAAAGACCCCAGAATGAGCTTTCTCCCAAATATATTATAGTCATGAGTGACTGGTACCTGCCTTGGCTGTCTCTCTTGGTTTCCCTTTTGTCTCTCTAACCTGACATCATGATCCCAAGCTTCTCCCAAACTGCAATTCCAGGGGCCCTCCTTTGTGAGTCTCTCATTGAATGATTCTCCCATAGCAATATACTGCTTTGGAATGGATTCTTTGATTTCAAATCCTGTCTTCTGAATAAAGGAATCTGAAAGAAACAGAAAAGTGTCAATACATACTGTTGCCTGTGTTGGGAGAAAGAAAAGTGATTTATACTAAGTTCTAGATTTTGCCTTCTTATTCAAAGTGAATGACAATTAGCCGAGAAAAAGTGGAGCATTGAGGGAAGTGAGGAAGGAGAGAGTAAAAGAGCACCTAGCTGCCCAGAATTTAATGAATTCCATTCTAGGATATGGAAAAACTTTATAGATTTCATCAGAGTACCAATGTTGGGAATTCTTGGGAAAATGTGTCAATATTCAGAAAGAGGAAATATACTAATTCTGAGAAATGAAGATAAGCTTGAAGAAAATCTCCATCAAAATTCAAGAATCTATTATGAAAGAGATTATTTATAAACACAAATACCCTTATGAACAATGTAGAATGATACCTCACTTGTGTGGGAAAAATTTGATGCTATAAAGAGGCAGACAAAGATCTTTTATTCATTGAAAATCAGAGAAATGTGAATGTAAAGAAATATAGCTTCAAGGATACCAAAGAGATAATGGATCACTCTGAAGAAGTTATAGTTGCAAGGGACTGTGGTATCTCAGCTTATATGTATATGTGTACACATATATATATATATATGTACATGTTCCATGACTAAGGATGATAAACCTTTTTTTTTAAGTCACATAAACATTTGAACAGTGAGGTGTGATTTAAAATGACCTATAGATTTCATAGGGAAATTTAGAGAGTTTGTGACTTTTTAAAGGAAAGGTGAGTCACTGAGAATCAGGAGGTTCTCATTTAAGCCACTAAAGTATTTAAGAATAAGATACAGGAACCTGCAAAAACTTGACATAGAAGCTTGAGAAGAAGTGATGGGGGTGGGAGGCTGCTGATCTTTTCTGCCATCTACAATTTGAAAAGGAAAGGTGGTTGTTGTTGTTGTTTTTTTTAATCTGCTTTGATATTCTGGTGAGCTGGCTAAGTTTATCTGTCTAGCTTAAAAGAATCAACTTGTGCTCTGTTGCTGTGAGTGCTATTTGACAAAGCAGCATCCAGGTGAATGAATAATTAGAGTGGTCTATAAATATATATACATCCAAAAGATAGCTATTCTCATGATCTTTGCAATTCTCTGGTTTAAAGAGAACTGTTGTTCATATTAAGTAAAACTTTTGGAAATGGGAAGACCTCTAAGAAATCATTTAGAGCAAAGTGAGTAGAACTAGAACAACTTCCACAATTTACAACAACACTGAGAGAAAAACAACTTTGAAAGATTTTAGAATTCTGATCAATGCAACAAATAAATACGAGTCAAGAAAATTCAAGCTGAAACATGCTACTTACCTCCTACAAGGGAGGTGATGAATTTAAAATGAAAACAAAGACATAGATTTGGGGGTATAACTAACGTGGGGATTGGTTTTGTTGGACAATGCGTACTTACGATGAGGGTTTTAAGTTTTTAAAAAAAAATAGTTCAAAAGAGGAATAGTGGGAGGGACTGATTAAAATGCAAAGAAAAAATAAATGCTTTTTACAAAAAGTAACATTTTCTAAATTTTTTTTTGATGGTTAAGTGTAAACTGAAAGAGTCTGTAAAAACTATGTTTGAGTAGAGAAGAGAGGATTTTCCCACAACCGTCAAGTAGGGAATAGGGAAGCAGTTTTCTGTGGTGCAGATGTTCCAAAATGGACCAAAAACATCAAAGCCTACAGTCCAGAATTTTAAGTTACCCAAAATTATAGGTTTTCCTTCTTCTTGTGCTTTCCTGTCAAGTGCTTATAAGAGTATGCTTGCCCTTCACTAAAGATTAATGGAAGAGTATGATTCAGATTTATATGTGTATTGTGATTAATTTTATTTATGCATTGATTTTAATATATTAGTAGCTATGATATAATTATTATTATTTATTTTGTCAAATAAGCGGTTATATTTAATATCTACAAGTGTCATTGTGAATGCTGATTGTGTAGCTAGAATTAATTCAATGGGGTTTCAAGAGCTGGAGTGGCAAGGGAAGTATATTTCCCCTCAAAAGAGTTACCCGTGGGCCTTTGAGAGAGCCTGCATATAATCAGGTAATGGTGGTCTATCTGTGGGAATCTATACCTGCCAGGACAAGGGCAAACTGGAGTGAGTGAACCAACTCAGACAGTGAATGGGTATTGACATAGCCCATAAGAGGGGTTATATAGTGTCACATTATGGAGGTGGTCACATTAAGGGACACCCTAGGCATATACTGTCATATTATACCTAATCATAGGTAACTACCTACTATCTGATTTCTGTGCTCCAGCTCTGGGGTGGATATCATTGGAGAAGATAATAACATTGAGTTAATTGAACACACAAATTCAGGGCATGTCACCTTAGCTGGGGCCCAGCTCCCATCAATCCTACTCCATTTCTTATGTTCTGCATGACAATCCTATTCCAATTCTCTATTTTTAATTTCACAAGGACTATTCCATGTCATCTTCCTCAAACCACCCTCGGCGCCCCAACCCCAGCACTTACAGCAGAGGACCTAGGCTCTTACTTCACTGAGGAGAATGAAACCATCTGACACAAGCCTCCATTCCTTTGCTCAAATTTTCTCAGCACAATCATCCTTGCTCTCCTCTCTGCTAAGCACAGAAGTGAATTCCTACTAGTCACTAATGTAATTCTGCTTATCCACCTGATTCCTCGCCCTGTCCACTTCTCCCCAAAGTTCTCAATTACACGTTTTCTCTCTGGCAATTTTAATTTCTCATCTCACCACTGATTCTTTCATTCATCAGCCTACAGATATGCTCAGGTCTCTCGAGTCTTAACATTAAAAAAACAAACCCTAACACCTTCTCCTGATCTTCTAGCCCACACTGCTTACTACCTTGCTCCTCTCTCTCACTGCTAAGTTTCTAAAATGTGTATACATCTGACGCTCTGACTTTCTTCAATACGTACTTTCATCTCAGCCCCTGACAAGAGTGCTTCTGCCATGATTCTGGAACACAAATGATTTCTAAATCCCAGGACCTTTTCTCAAGCCTTATTTCTTACACCTTCTACACAATTTTGGCCTGTTGGCCGCTCTCCCTCCTACTAGATGCTTTCTCCTCCTATGGCTTCAGATACACCACATTCTCCTGCTCCATTTTCCTTACTGGCTTATCTTTTATTCTGATCCCTTGTTGTGGGTCTTCTTACGGACTAGTCATTGCCTCTCTTCTTTTCTACCAACACCCTATCTCTGGGCACTTTCACTTACTCTTATAAGTTTAACTTCTAAGTCTGTAAAGATGAATTCCCAATGAAGAGGAATCGTGGTACAGTGGAGAAGTCATAGGATCTGGGTTTGAATCCTGGCTCTGCCACTAACTATCTGTGTGACTGTGGGCAAGTCATTTAATCTCTCTGGATTCAGTTTCCTTATTGTCAAGTTGAGGGGGTTGGTCAAGATGGACACTGGCTATGATCCTATAAAGAGAGAAGATGAGTACGTGGCAAGGAATCTTGGCAAGTGTGGATGGCTAAGTAGTTGAAAGATAGATCATTAAGATGACTGAAGGTGAAACAGCTTAGAAGGGACACAGAAGGCAACAAGGAACACAGGATCTCAGAGGGAGACCGTCTAGTCCAGGAATCACCTTCACAACATCTCCAGCAAGGGAACTATTAGTCTTGCCTAAAACCCTTCAGTGAGAAGGAAATCATGACCTCTCAAGATAGCCCGTTTCAATTTGAGGATGCTCTAATTGTTAGGAAGTTTTCCTTTACATCAAGCCTGCACCTGACCCTACAACTTCTAATCTGCGGGCAATCAGTGGTCAATTTTCTTGCTTCTTAACGTTGCTGGAAAATGCCATCTATGCAAACCACTTCAATGATGCCGCAGGGAAGCCCAGGTGTGGCCACTCTGTCCTGTCCCATAGCCTGGTGCTGAAGGAGGCAGCTGCAGCTGCCAGTTATGTGTCTGACCTCTTCTATGACAGAGGCAATGTCAGGTCGGTCAACTCCCCTAAGGCAAATTTCTGGGAAAGGGAAAGTTGCTGAAGATGTGTGACCACGAATGTGAGAGTAGAAGGGGGACCTGAGGAATGATGACTGACTGCTAAATGCTAAGACGGAATTAGGGATGGATTCCAGAGAGTCCCACAGTGAACAAGGACTAGAGCATGATACAAGCTGGGCACGCCAGGTCTGGAGGGCAGCCTGTCGCGGGACTATCGATTCCATTCCTCCGGCCACTCTGGCCTTAAGATCACTGTCACCGAGGCACAGAGACATCTCTCTGCTCCAGGAGATGAGACTGCATCCTGCTATGGCAAGAGACAATGATCAGGATAAATCTCTTTCTGCTGAGACGGTTACATCCTCGTCTCTCTCTTCACCATAATTCAGATACAGTCTTTGTTCTGAACTCCTCCTCACTCGCCTCTTTCCAGCCCAATCCCTTTGCCTCCCAATGCCCCTGGAGATTTCCAGGAAGGCCTAATGCCTTCTCTTGGGCACACTAAAACGTACTCATCATGGAAGCCTCTTGGTTTCTGAATTACTGGCCTAACTGCTGTTTCCATGAAGACCTCTACGGAGACCAGCATGGTCTCCTATCCTTCCACATCTGATTTCCTGGTTTCCTTCCTCTGACTATGCTCCACCTTGTCAACGTTCTTCCTACAGTGAGGTGTCCAGAACCGAACACAATATTCCAGTTGTGGCCAGGCCAAGCCAGAGGCCAGTGAAGCTCTCACAGAAGCCCAGAGTCAGAAGGGACCCAGAGGCCATCCAGTCCAACCTAAACCAGACCGAGAATCCCATCTGAAGCCTCCCCAAAAAGGGTCACGAAGTGAAACGCTGCAGAGACGAGCCAAGAGGAGGACGTGAGAGAAAACCTTTGGAAGACAGAAGCAGAGAAGCAACAGCGGGAGTGGGAAAAGCCGTGGACTAGAGAGAGCGTCTGTCTGCAGCCTCGTTAGGATTCCAACCACCCGGGAGCCCGTGGACAAGACAAAAGCCCCTGGGCCTCAGCCTCCTCTGCTGCAAAATGGGAAGGTCAGTGCACGATTCACCTCACCTGGTGTCAAAGCACGCTGTCGGCTACAAAGTTCTATATGTACGTAAACTGTCACTACTACCACAGAGCTCCATAGCGACCACAAAGATCATGATCTATGGAACAGCCAGAGAGAAGACAGGTTTTAGCATATCTCAAGAGAAAGAGACCAAAGGAAGTGGAGCGACTATAGACAGCACTTTTGGGATTGTGGTTTGGGGCTTGAAAGGAATGAGAAAAAATGCAAGGTAAATACAAAAGGTAACAAGATGAAGAAAGACCTTGTTCTGTGTCAATCTTAAATATAGGTTGAGTATAATTATATCTGAAAACAGAAGGAAAGGAAACTTTGAAAAGCGAGAGATTAAAGATGTGAGGAGAAAACCACCACGGGAGGGGGCACAAAAGGGGAGGTGTGGCGGTGGAGGTGTTAAGGGTAGAAAGAGACTGGAGAACAGGCAGAGCAGAGTGAGTTATCAGCCAAATGACTGAAGTCAAAGAGGTCAGACGGCCGTGCCTCTTTTACAGAGGTCAGAGAGGCTTTAGGGAAAACATCCTAACACCCCTCAACGGCTCCTCCAAAGGATTCCATCTGTTTGACTTTCACTCACCTAGATAAGTGCTTATCAGGACTTCATTCTCTGTCATCCACGGTGTCTCTCTTCTTTCCAGATGGGAGATCACGTCTGGTTTGGAAACTGGGAGCCCTGCTCATAGGGATATAAATGGTAAAGTGCTGAGGAAAGAGACATCACAGATTTCAATCTTACCTTCTCCCTTTAAGGAGTAGAGGGCATGCTAGGAAGACCCAGACGATGGTACAAAGGACCTCTATACTGTGTTCCCAGGAAACAGTGGGGGTAGGTAATGGGGATGATCTGGCCTCAAAGAAATCATGTTCACGTAAGGTACACATGGTATGTTCATTCAGTCAGCAAGGAGAGACAGCTGGATGATAGTTGGGATTGAAAAGAACCTTCACAGGCATTGGGTTGAATCTAATAAGATGAAATTCTACAAGGATAAATGGAGTCTTATACTTGGGAACAAAAAACCAACTCCACAAATATAAGCTGGGCAAGGAATGGACAGACCACCATTGCCTCTGATACTCATTAGCTGTGTGACTCTGGGTAAGTCACTTAACTTCTCTCTGCCTCAGTTTCCTCCTCTATGAGGATAATAAGAGCACTCACCTCCCAGGGTTATCGTTAGGATCAAATGAGATATCTGTAAAACGCTTTGCTAACCTTAAAGCACTACATAAGTGCTAGCTATTACTATCATTATTATTATTATTATCATTATTTTATATCAAAGGACTTAGGAACCTCCACATTACGTGTAGCCATGAGAAGATCCCTGCATATAAAGTCAAAACTCAGTAAAATATTGCAGACATCCCACAGCTACTGGGAAACAAGAAGTCAAAGACATGGACAGATGATGATTCCTAATGGAAAAGCTGTCCTTACCAAGGAAGACAAAATTCTCATAGTTCTCCAGCATCACATCCCTGTACATATCCTTCTGGGCAGGCTCCAAGCGGTCCCATTCCTCCTGGGAGAAATCCACAGTCACATCTTGGAAGGTGAGTGATACCTGAAATGTCAAATCATATTTGTGCTCGCCCAAGAACCACTCCTCACAGGGAAAACCAGGAGGATGTGAAGGTGGCAGAAGAACTCACAGGATAAGGGTTTGGAGTATTCTCACTTCACTTGTGTGTCTATTTTTTTGGTCAGACTCTGAATCATATAGGAAATTCTGCTTTAGTACTCAAGGTCAACCTTACAAATCATCTCTCAAACTAAGCCCCAAGTACATTCTGCACTTTACTCCTGTAAGGCATTGTTCCTCCTCTATAATGAACATTTTGGTGGCTTATGGGGCAGAAAAGGAATGTTTACATAAGCAAAACTAGCAAATCTGCCTTAAGAAGAGATACAGAATCTTAGTCAAAACATTGAGAAAGATAGACTGTTTGGGGGACCAGAGAGAAAAATGCCCTCAAATAAACGTACTGAGAGAAGCTGTCTCATGACAGAGCATTGGCCGTAGGGCACTGTAGTACGTAAACTCATGTGAATGTGACTGTTTTCAGAAGTTACATCTAATTAGACATTATAAACCACCCATAGTGGTTTATAATAGTAATCTGGAGACTACGGGAAGATTCTGTAAGGACTGCTGGGTCATACTTGACGGAAAGGTAGACCTTTGGGGCTTCAGCTCACAAGCAGTAAATGGGTCACTGCTTATGGAGAAGCATTAGAGGGAGGAGGAAGATTGGGGGAGTGGGAGATGAGCAGATGAGAATAAGAGCAGGAGAGAAAGTTGAAGGCAGGAGGACAGGGACAGAAGGCACTGGAGGAGATGGGCAAAGTTGCTACCAGATGGAAGATTACAGTAAGCTGACAGGGACTGAGTCAGATGAGGGTATGAGTATCTGTAGGTGTTGGAAGCCTTTGGAAGAGCTGAATCCTGCTGCCCAACAGAGAGAATTCTCTGGGTTTTTTGCCATCTAGCAACATCTCTAGCTTGAGAGAGGAAACCTCTCAGGGACATCTGTGTTACCTTCTACTGCTTTCTCTGGTTTCAGAAGGACAAACAACAGGGAAAGAAAGGCCTTGTATCTATTTCTGTGACAACAGGCTTGGACTTTTCTAACAGCTAGCTGGATAAAACAGAATCCCTTGCTATTTGAAGAGCTGGATGAGGGAAAAGCTGCATGACTATATCACTGCTCTAGGAGAAACCCCTCAAGCAGCCCAGATCTTATCTGAGGAGTCTGGCAGTTCTCTAGCTTGAGGGAACTCATTGAAAGAGTGTAACACTTTCTCAGCACCATATCAACAAGGGATATGTGCTAAAAGAATTTGTCACTATCTCCATCTCCAAGGAGCTTACATTCTAACTGGGTAAGATGACATACATAAGGAGGAATGTGGAGGCCAGGGAAATGGGGTTATGGGATGGAGAGTTTCAGGCATGGTCAGTGGATCCATAAAGCAGTTAAGTGACAAGCCCTTTCCTCAAGCAATGGTACTATTGATTGATTACTGTGCCCAGGACAAAGGGTGGAAAAAGAAGAGGATGGGCAAATGGTACACTCTCACACAGCAGCAGGCATGTGGCAAGATGGTTTGGGCAGGTGGTAAGAGGGTATGTGAAAAAGCATTGTCTGGGGTTGTGTAGATATGGTGGCCTGGGTATGTTCAGTTATCAATGTGACTTTGCTCTCGGGCAGGAGTTGACGGGTATGTAGGGTGTGCTAGAGTCAGCTCCTAACAGCTCTCACAAATTTTCAGTGTGAGCATTTACAAATTGGCAAAAGTTGCAAATCAGGGCTTGATGTATTGTTTTCTCGATTGTCTAATAAAATGTTAATGTAGAATAAACCTAAAAGCATGTGGTGCACACATTTTTTTTTTAGAGATCTAGTTGCTAAGCACTTAGCAGACAGGTGGGTTTGGACTCACTGACTGAATACTCATATTAAAAAGATGGGCCTTTGTTTCTGGAAGAACACCAGGAGAGAATATTGGTGGTTTTTTTAAAAGACGTTTTTGAATTAAGAGCACCTGGGGATCATTGGAAAGTGTTACACAGCTTTCTAAACGCAAGCAAACTCATTTTCTCCTTTTCTCTTCTATTCTGTTTCAGTCTTAGCTCACCATCAGAAGTGTCTGTCCAGGATATACATACTGATGTATTATTACCTTGAAGGACTGCTCATACAACTCAGTATCTCATTTTGGACAGCAATCATGCTTAATCATTTGTTTTTTTTCCTATAGAGACTAGTCAGCTACTCCCTTGAATGGCCATTTATGGATCAATGAACATCTGTAGTACTTTGGGCCTTAATGAAATTAGCACCTCATGCACAACAGGAATATTTGAAGGTCCTTATTATATAAAGAGGATTCCTTTTCCATTTGGATTCTGGACAGAATATATCCTGTATCAGTATTAAACAACTTAATGTTAGCATACATCTTCCTGTTTAATGCCTTGAATATGTTTGTATCTATCAAGGAATCTTTTTTTTTTTTTTGGAGGCAATTAGGATTAAGTGACTTGCCCAGGGTCTCATAGCTAGTAAGTTTTTGTGGACCGATTTGAACTTAGGTCCTCTTGACTTGAGGGCCAGTGCTCTATCCAATGCATTCAAGGAATCTTGCAAAATATTAACATGTATTAAATACATCTTATTGGGGAAGAACTTCTTAGATTGCACTTTTCTATGAGTCAAATGCTTTTAAAAATAATCAGCAAACAATAACAGCAGAATCTTGCAATCCCTATACCTTATGATAAAACTGTGTGAATGTGAATTTGGTGTTCTACTGTAGAAAAGAGTTTGTAAAAGCCTAATTTTTCCATTCTCATATTTTATATAAAATGAAAAACAGGCATTTGGATTAGTCATCACTAGACTCGTAATATCATGGAGTTATAGCTGGGAGAGACCTCGAAGGGCACCTAGTTAACCCTCTCATTTTACAGTTGAGGAAATAGTTTAAATGACTTGCCCAAAGTCACTCAGATGGTAAGGATCAGCCAGGATTGGGTCCCAGGCTCTTTGACTCCAAATCCAATGCCTTTCTCACTGTACTGCTGCCTCCTATTAATCACATTTCAAAAATAATAGCGTCTGTGATTTCTTTCTAAACATTTATTACATATGAATTAATGAATGAAAAAGCATTTATTTAGCATTTACTGTGCACCAGGCACTGCACTGAACACGCGATACAAATATAAGCAAGCAGAGGAGTCCTTGCCTGCAAGGAACTCTAATTAGGGAAGACAACATACAGTGTTAGAAAGAGGGAGAATGGTGTACGCCGGTGGCTGCCTGGCTTGGAAATGAACAGGAAGACTGTGGCGACCTGGATTCCAGGCAAGATAAGGCAAAAAAAGGCTCAGGAATCAAGCCAGGATTCAGGGGCAGGGTCTGAGTTCAGATAGGAGGAGAAAGAGGAGCATAACCACAATGTGGGCAGCATGGTTTCGAAATAGCTTGGAAGTGTCATTTTTTCCTTTCTCCAACTATCACGAAAATTAATACTTTGATGCTAAAATGTTGTATCCTCTAGTACATATTTATTTTGTTTTTAAAACTATTTTAAATCAATACCTTTTGTTTTTACATCAAATTCATTTCCAAATGTATCCCACACTGTCCCCTACCCAGAAAACCTTTCTTTATAACAAAAATTTAAGGAGAAAAAAGAGAAGCAGTTCAGTAAAACCAAACAAGCCAATGACTGTGACAGGATGTGAATGACAAGCTTTTTAAAAGTGCTCACTAAGCACTGGGAATGCAGATACAAAAGAAAGGCTGGCCCTGCCCTTCAGGAGCATGGCACTGGCACCATGGTTAATAGCTAGAGGGCTGGGTTGGAGGTGGAGGCAGCATCTAGATGGCATGACAGAAAGTTGACCAGAATGGTTATGATTGGGCCTGTGGTCACCAATCAAAAAAGCATGCCCCAAGGTGTGAGCAGAGAGACTGGGTAACATGGTAAGAAGATGGCTGGGCACAACAAGGCTGGGACTGGGGCCAACTAGACATGGTAATAATATATGTAATATTCCACACCCACAGTTCCTTACCTTTGCAATAAAGGGGGGTGGTGTTACTTACCACTTAAAAACATATATAGTGTATACATAAATATACTTCTTGTTAGCACTTTATTTCATGCATCAAGGTATTACAGGGAAGACTTGAAATTTTTTCCTATTTGTGAGTTATGGATTTAATTTGATAGGAAATCCTAGCTTTCATTAAAGTAATCTAATGTGATTAAGCAATATTTTTCTGACTAGTCTACTGCAGTGGATAAGGAACTAAAAAAACCCAAAGTGTGATTGTTTTGATTAGCTCCCTAAAATATTCCTTTATTTATTTATTTACTTACTTAATTTTCTAACCCCTCAGAAACGTATTAGAAGCACCTTCTCTTAGAGTCCATTCCTACACATCATCTCGTTCATTAGTAAAAATAAATTTCCTGATAAGGCACCTATTAAGTGTTTATGATATGTCAGGCACAGAGTCAAGTAATAGGCATGCAAGTACATGCAAACAAGACAGTTCTTGCCCTCAAGGAGCTTACAATCTAATGGTGGAAGGCAACACATAGAGGGGAGCTGGAAGGACAGGGTAAAGGTATGCATATGGTAGAAACTTGTTTACGAGGTTTCTATGCCTTAGCACATGATCAGTTTTTTTAAAGGTGCCATGCACATTTGAAAAATAAGTAGATTCCTTTCTGTTACAAATTCAGTAGCGGGCAAGCGTCAATCACATCTAACTTCTCCAAAATTATATTCATTTCCTTTCTTATTTTTTGTTTGATTTTTCTAAATCTAAAAGACACACATCGAGGTCTCCAATTCTTATAATTGTATTGTCTATTTCTTCCTATAATTCAGCTAATTTTTCTTCAAGAAGTTAGATATCATGTGATTTGGTACATATATTAAATATGTATTAGCTCATTAGCTATAGGGCCGTTAAGGAAAATGTCATTTCCCTGTTTATCTCTTTTAACCCTCTGTATTTTTGCTGTTGCCTTGCCTGAGAT